TAAAATTATTTTAGATTTATTTCATGGGGAGGGGGGTGTTGGGTTGTTTTGTTTTGTTTTTTTGTTGTTTTGTTGTTGGGTGTTTGTTGTTGTTGTTGTTGTTGTTTTTTGGGGAGGGGTCTTGTAGTTTTGTTGTTTGCTTTTGTCGTTTTGTTGACAGATGGATTTATTACCAATATATAATTAAAATGTTTTATGTATACCTGCATGTGTTTTTACGGTCCTGAACAGCCAAGAAAACTTTCCCTCTGGGATAATAAAGTAGGCCTATTATCTTATCATATTTTCCTCGTTTACTGACACTTGAACTTATCTGATCATGTCTAATACATGTACCAATAATCGTGGATTTTGTAGTCTAGTGGTTGGGCTCTCCGACTCTCAACCGTTAAGTCGTGGGTTCGAATCCAGTCAGCAACCCCATATTGTGTACTTGGGAAAGGTATTTACTCGAATATTCCTCATTTCATTCCGGTGAAAGTGGGTACCCGGCTATTGACAACGAAATATCTTGCCAGTTTGTTTGTGCTTCAGGGCGCATAATTCGTAATTCCCACTATGTCACTGTCATGTATGCTTCCTGGGAAGGCGAAAATGTTTACGAGTCATGCTTTAGAGTCTATTAGGGTAAAACATAGTATTGCAAGTTGATTAGGGTCAGTGGTGGTAGAGCTGGTAGTGGTAGTGTGGTGGTGATGGATGTCGTTGATGTGTGAATAGTGCATTGAGCATGCTATAGAGCGTAGGTATGCACTGTCTAGAAGCAATGATAAAACAACAAAAACCATGTCATTTCTTGTGTTATTCTTACAGTGACTGAACTTACTTGAAGAACTGGGTAGATGCACTTCTTTCTTCTTTTTTTTTTTTTTTTTTTTTTGAGACATGACATTTCTTGTGTAACTGTTTTTGTTGTTTTTGTTTGTTGTTGTTGGGTTGTTGTTGTTGTTGTTGTTTTTTTTTTTGGGGGGGGGGGTTGTCGTTTTTTCCTCCTGTCAAATTCTATATTATCTAACAATTAAATAAATGAGTCTTGAGCAATCACTTACTTAGTTACTTGTTTGGATCATGTTAGTCCTACATTCCTCAGCTCTTTCTTCCTGTGTCATCGTTATAATGTCTAGACTTACTTGAGGAACTTGGGCCCCTGTAGGACGTCGTAGTAATAGTGTGAGTCATCCAACATGAAGAACTCGTCACCGCTAGCACTCACGATCAGCTTCGGCATGCTGTACCGGTCGTTGTATGCTGGGGGGGGGACACGTTGTTTCAGTTGGTTCATCATCATCATCATCATCATCATCATCATCATCATCATCATCATCATCATCCTTTTCCTCCTCCTCCTCCTTTCCTCTTCCTCTCCTCTTCCTCCTCCTCCCCCTCCTTCTCCTCCCCTCCTCCTCCTCGTCCTCCGCATCCTCACCACCACCACCACCACCCCTCCCCCATGTAGCACAATTAGGTCATATCATAAGTGCTGAAGATCAGAGGTCTTAAGATTTATTTTTAGTTTTAGTAGGAGTTTTACGGCATTTGCAACACAATTGAAGTTCAAATAAAGTGTCGCAGATTACAACAACAGCAGCAATGGCAGCCATTACAACAACAGAAACAACAACAACAACAACAACAACAACAACAACAACAACAACAACTACAAGAGCAACAACAACAATAAAAACACTACCATCAACAACAACAACAACATTTACGATTACACAGGCAGGCAGTATTAAAAAGACGACACAAATGGGAGAGCGTTTTGTTCTCACTCAAGGCGTCAACAACAGACCGTATCTCACTTGTGCCAAAGTTGTCCATAATATGTGCACCCAGAACAAATCACACACACACCACACACACACACACACACACACACACACACACACACACACACACACAC